GAGGACTACCTGTATTCAGAACTATCACTTCCTGGCCTCAATTTTAAAATAGGCTAAATTATATATCCTGTCAAAAATTCATGTAAAAATCACAATGCAGTAGAATATGATAGTTTCAAGGGCAGTGCCACTTCAGGAGCAACATCTTTGAGTGATGGAAATCTTTTGAAATCTATTCGGATAACATACTTGTTAGCAACACATTTAGACTAGTTTTAGAAAAAGCTACACTTAAATGTAAACTACTAAAATATATAGGGAGCTGAAAAGTTTAATTTATTCCAAAGGCCAGGGGTGAATGCAGAAGTTTGGCTTTTGCCTTGGTTCCTGTGCTGGGTTGTCCCATAATTTTCATTTAATGCAGTAAAATGGTGATGTTGTATCACTAGAAAACAAATAGGCTCCAGAGCAATATGACAGGTCTTTTGAGTCACTGTTTGAACATATAAGAATAGTTCAAAATTTCACATAACAATCCTTCCTTGTTTTTACAAACATGTGTTTGGAACCAAAATTTAATTGTAGTTAGCTAAACTCTTGTTTTTAGGGGGCATTGTCTGGTTTCCCTTAAATTAATAGAATTTGGAACACAACTTAGAACAATTAAAAGAGCTCTTAATAAATTCATCTGCAATGGGTTACGTATTGATTGATGACTGTAATTCAAATTGGAGCTCCATTATAAGATTTGATATGAGATTTTTGCATTAAAACCTGTATTGCTGCTGGGACAAATCTTCCTCCTTTCAAATAAATATACTGAAGCAAGCCATCATAGTAGTTTTTGCTTTCAAAAGTGTCGCCTTGCAATGACATTGCCAGGACAAAGCATGATTGAATAAAATGTCCAGATAGCGAAAATTCTTAATGAGTTATCATATGATAATGAACTTTCCAGCTACACTTTTTAAATTTTTTCCCCAAAAACAAAATTTTAGATTTATTGTAGTTGATTTGTAGTTGGTTATCCTGACAATACTTGACTAATGCCTCAAGTTGGCATTTCAAACCCAATCTGATATGAGGAAGAAGAACAGTAACTTCTGCATATGACAAAGCACAATTTTTTTGGCTAATAATGGGCAGTGGCCATCAGCCAAATCATTACTATAGATATTTAATAATGCTGGAACAAAAATACAATCTTGTCTCACACCCTTGTTCATTGTTATGTTTCCTGTAAGTAAGCCTTTTTTGATGCCTAGCTTGCATTATACTGTTTTGATATACTGCCTGTACCCCTCCACCGCCCCCTCATTCCTCCACCCCCCCAACACCACCACACTCTTTTCCTCCACT